AGCCATCATTGTTGTTTGGCGGGCCCGGGCTGGGGATTCAAACCCGCCACCTTAGGTGTATGTGGCTGGCGCCTTAGCCGCTTGAGCCACAGGCACCGAGCCAGAAAAATAACTTAACTCCAGCAAGCTGAGCTGCCCTCTTCTACATAGTATAGAACAGTGGTTCTCAATCTTCCTAATGCTGCAACCCTTTAATAGTTCCTGTGGGTTGCAACCCACAGGTTGAGAACCGCTGGTATAGACCTTTCTTATCAAGTGAATGTGAATAAAACACAGAAAACTATTCACTCCTTGCCCAGGCCCTTCCAGTCCTTTCATCAACTTTGAACCCTAGTGGGGCCTCAGTGTCAGCAGCCAGCCCTTGACCAATTCCAAGACTCTACCTGCTCCAGCTTTAGCCTTCACCACCTCCGTGCCAGCCTCCTGGATCCGCCCAGTGAGTGCTGTCAGCTGGTCCTGGGGAAAGTCCACCTTGGGGGTGCACTGCAAGCCAAGCCAGGGGTCAGTGAGCTGGTGCTGGCCATCCCGGTCCCCACAGCCTCCCAGCTGCCTACACAGGGCTCCTTCCCACCCCACTGTACTAGAACCAAGACTTTTTCTTCCTAGAAAAACAACAAAGACAAATCAGCTTTGTTGGGAAGCTTAGTAAGTCCCTGACTTATTTTTGAAGAACTTTTTATATTCTGGACTAATTTTAGACTTGGAGAAGAGTTGTAAAAATAATACAGATTTTCCCTTACTCAGTTTAGCCCAATGCTACCAATTCACATAACCATAGCATAGTCATGAAAAATAGTCATTTATAAAGTAGTATTAATACTGCTGACCAAATTACAGACTTTATTCAAATTTACCAATTTTCCCACCACCATCCCTTTACTGTGCAGGTGCTCACTTGGAACCTCATGTCTCCTCTGGGTTCCTGTCTTTCCTAACACTTGTCATAAGTACTGATCACTTCTCTTTGGTAGAATGGCCCGATTTGGATATGTTTCTTCGTGATTTTCTTGTAAAACGCTTTTTGATAAGAATACCACAAACAATGTGTGTCCTCACTGCATTAAAGTGTTATAATGTCAAGTTGATTTATCTTTTCTCAGTGGGGTCTGCCTTAACTCATTTTTATTTATTTTACTTTATTTTTTTTAGAGACAGTGTCTCACTTTGTCGCCCTTGGTAGAGTGCCGTGGTGTCACAGCAACCTCTAACTCTTGGGTTCAAGTGATCCTCTTGCCTCAGCCTCCCGAGTAGCTGGGACTACAGG